ACTGTCTGATGTTCTCATGGCCTGGCACAGCCCGAGGGCTTTGTGCTTCACCTCCTTTGTCCTCTCAGCCCCTGCAGTTGTGGCACTGGGGTACAGGAAAGGTCCTTTAGCCCAGAGCACATGGGTCAAGGACCCAGGCATCTTCAAAAAGTTATTCTTAGCTTGTAGCTAAGATTTTCATCTAGGCAAAGCTAGGCTTCCTCACAAACCTTCATCTTCATGGTTAGAAAACATCCTTATTAATTTGTCCATGAAATGTGATTAATTTTAAGGGAACACTCCTTATTGCAAATTAAGGTTATATTAAAAATACTGAATTCTGGGGCTGGAGAGGTGGCTCAGCGGCCAAGAGCACTGGTTGTTCGTCCAGAGGACAAGGATTGATTCTCAGTACCCACACAGTGGCTCAAAACTGTAACTCCACTTTTAGGGGATACAATGCTCTCTTCTGGCCTTTGCTGGTACCAGGGACACAAGGGGGCACAGGTGTGCTTTCAAGCAAAACATCCATACACATAAAATAATATAAAAATAAAAAATCCGATTCTGAGAACAGCCCAGCAGTAACAATGATGGCAGCTGCTGATTCTTCTAACACGGAGACATCCCAGGCAAGAACAGACTTGGGTTGCCAGTCAGGGCAAGGTAAGGAGAGCTTGGGGATGTAGGCTGTCCACATCTAATTTGAGAGGATCTCATGAGCCTTTGCTTTGTTTCTTAGCCCCTCCTATCATCCCCACCTTACGGATCCGAGGGAACACAAGCTCCGAAGGGAACAAGGGTGGACCCAGGCCCGGGATACTGGTTTAAAAAGGTTTTGTGGGGCCGGCAGATGACTCAGTAGGGAAAGATGTCTGATGCAAAGCCTGAGGATCTGAGTTCAATCCCCGTGACACAGACAGAGGCAGAGAACCAACTTCCGCAGGGTGTCCTACACTTCCACACATATACCACGGCACGCATGCACCCCATGAGTCACAACACAAATACATGCTTAAAAAAAACAACCCAAGATTGCCTGGATGAACAGACAGTCTCAAGTACTCTATCCCAGCTTACAGAAGTGACTGATGGTGATGGTGACACCCAGGGAACTAGTAAGTGAAGGAGGAAGGTTCAGAGGAAGAGACAGACAGACAGACAGGCCCTCAGCTAACAGCAACCATGTGAAACAGAGAAGATATTAATTAATATGTCTTCGTCTATTCCTGAAGATCATCAGGATCCTCCTAGGATAGAAAGGCACTGCCTATGATTACCAGGATGAACCGTGTGTGTGTGTGTGTGTGTGTGTGTGTGTGTGTGTGTGTGTGTGTGTGTGTGGTATAGGCATTTTTGGGTGGATGGATGCATTGATGTGTTCAGAGGTCAACATCAGTTCCTCAGCTACTCACTATCTCGTGCTTTGAGACAAGCTCATTCACTGAACTTAGGGTTCACCAATTCAGTTAGATCAGCTGGCCAGTGAGCCCTACTGGGGCTGGAGACATGTACCTGGCTCTGTACATGGGTGCTGGGGATCTGAACTCAGGTCCTCATGCTTGTGGGTCAAACACATCACTGACTGAGGGCTCCCACTCTCGGCACCAAATCTTGTTTAAACAAGGTACCAGGTACCTGGGAGCAACACTACTAACTTGGGGTGGGAATGTAGTGGTGATACTTACTGACCCCTTTGTCTATGCCACATCTGACAGGGTACTCTAGTGGGCATGACTCCTCTTAATCCTTAGACGAAGTTTATAAGCTTTGTTAGGCTCACCTTGTTTTTTAGGGTTGAAAACAGTTGGGAATATTGAGAAAACTTCTCAAGTGACAAGAACACCACACAGCCCTGGGTCTGAGTCAGTAGGCTCTGCCTATTGTTTCTATGGTTTCATCAGCGCCCAGTCTTTAAAAAACACCTCCTTCAGTCCTCAGCCAAGAATGCAATTGGCTCTCATTTAAAATGTATTTAACAAAGAAAAAGAATTTTCCGAGCTAACCTGGAAATCTGCATTTTCAACCTTTACTCTCCTAATGCAGGATGGCAATTATCCACTGTATCTAGAAAGTAATGACCCAAAGCCACTCCTTACCAGGGAAGGGAAGCCTGCATTTTAACCTGGGCTTCCAACACACACTGTCTTTTTTATTTGTTTTAAAAAGTAGAACTGTTTTGGGAAAAAAAAACCTTCTAGCTAAAAATACACTAGCAGCAACCTTGCAATTACACTCCTCTGTGGGAGACTTCTGTCTTCCATTCTATTTCCCAAATGAAGAGGTCTGGTCTGTGGTCTGCTCGTCAGTCATGCCAAAGGCCAATGTTGCACAACTAACTGGAAAAATCCAAGGCTATGTAGGCTTGGATAAGACTCTGTGTTTGTGCGTGCATATGCGTGTGTGTGTGTGTGTGTGTGTGTGTGCGTGTGTGTGCACGCATGTGCATTACAAAGTACAGCTTTATTTTAAACCAACTTCATGTTAGTCACCTCACCTGTCCTCCACAGAGGAACTTTGTTAAGGTTAGCCCCAGGACTGTGGAACAAACCTTACAGGCCCCATCAACTTGTACCCTTAGGCTGGGCTTCTTTTTCCATTCCAGACCTTGCCTCTTCCTCTCTTTTCCCTTTCTCTTTGATGCTTCTGTCATGGAAGACTGACAAGCTTGCAGGTGGGTTGCTGGGCTGCTGTGGTGACCAAGTCCTCAGAAAGGGCCACACTTGCCTCCTGTACGCTGTGTTGGTGACTGTAGCTTTCAGAACGGGTAGAGTCCACCAGGGGGACTCTACCTCCAACGGTTTTACTATGGCAAAGACAGGCCGCCAACTGTGAAAGCTCATACATAATTTTGGCAAGGGAACTTGCATCTAATTTATTAGTCTTTTCAAAGAGAGACACATACCTACGGGCAATGCGGGACCGTCCTGGGAGTGACTATATGAATTTGCAGAAAATGACAAGACCCCAATTCAAACCATAATTCATTATGAGATGGGAAAGGCTTTTTTCTTAAGCATGATTGTGGATCTAGCTCAGAGATAGCAGACAGTATTGAGACAAACTGGTGAAAACGAGGAAGTGTAGAAATGAGTAAAAACTTTTCACAAATGATAAGGAAGTAGATTCTTTAGGTTTGTAGACAGTAATTTCTTATTTGTCATAATACACCTCAGGAAAACACCCCCCCCACACACACACAAGCACACAGGAGAGAACAACAAAAATAACAGGAGTGCTAAAGTGACAGACTATTCCATCCTGTAACAAACCCAAGGGTCAAAATGACTACCCAAGAAAAGGCTCCCAAGACTGCTCATCAGCCCTATAGGCTGCTCCCTGAATGACACCGAAGCCACCATGCTGTCTGGCTCCACATGTCCTCAAGTTAGGCATTGTTACAAAGGGTACCAAATCATACCAAGTCAGTCACATGACCTTATAGAGACCCCATGAACCCTGCATGGAGGATAGGGTAGAGTTCTGATGTCATAATAGCAGAGGGCGGCGTTATATCAAGGACTTGCCTAGAGAAAGTCACTCAAAAACATCAAGGTAGTAACCGTAGTAGTAACAGTAACAACAACAGTAACAGCAGCAGTAACAACAGTAACAGCAGCAGTAACAACAGTAACAGCAGCAGTAACAACAGTAACAACAGCAGTAACAACAGTAACAACAGCAGTAACAACAGCAACAGCAGTAACAACAGCAACAGCAGTAGCTAACACTTGCTCATAGCCTGGCACTATTCCGACTGCTCTGTTTGTGTCATCTTTCAACCATCACACTACAAACATGAGGGAAGCACGGCACAGTTTAAGTAGCCCATCTAAGTCACACTGGCAGCATCTGGTGCCTGGCCACACTATGCCATAGGCCTGGCTCCTAAGTACAGCCTCAGCTACGCAAAAAGGGTAGAAGAAAATTCCAAGCTTCTCCGTAGGGGACCAAAAACCAACAGAAACTTAAGTTAATAAGAACCAAGACAAATGCAGACAGGGAAAACATAGCTCTTGTATCAAATTGCAGATTATTAAAGTTAGGATAAAGTGAAGATTCATAAGGTATCTTGGCACAGTGGGAGTTACCTTGTAAAATTTAATTTTTCTCAGGAAGAATTGAGACTACAAATTCTGAGACTGAAGGAGAGCGTTGGAAATCAATAATGTGTTACTGAAGGAGACATTGTCCCAAGGGTACCCATCTCCTTCCAGGGACTTTCCGCTTTCACCGCTGTGGAGGCTGGCTACAGGGCTGTGGAACTGCAGCTTTCCAGTGTGGCCAGTCTTTACCCTGTCTTTGTTGTCACCCTCTCTCCTAGGAGCTACGCCTGAGATGAAGATGACCTGTAGCCACACTGACCGGCTCTCAGCTGAAAGGGGCAAGAAGCTTGGCCACAAACGCTAGGATCTGGGACCCAAGTCAGTTACAGAAGCTGGTGTTGGGTCAGTCGCAGGATTAATCACAACCAGGGACCTCTGAGATAACATCTTCCCTCTGCCCATCCCATCCCCATCTGAGCTCTAGCCCTATGTGGAAGTTGGCTGTTTCTACCTCTCTCCCTCCTTCAGATCCAAGGCCTCCCTCATCCTCAGACGAAGCTCTGGGCAGTGGGGGAGAGAGATGCCCAAAGCATACCAGCTCTCAGACAATGGAGGGATCCAGGGCTGCAACAGAGGGACCCAGGACTGCAATGGAGGAACCCAGGGCTGCCATAACTTTTATTTTAAGCATTTGCTTATTTGGAATCCAGGGAGAACAAAGACCCATGTGCTGGGAAAGAAGGGCCAGAGTTTGATAAGATTAAAAAAAAAAAAGACCAAAAAACCTAAAAACCAAAACCAACCTACCGTGAAACAGAGTGGTGAGTGCAGGCTGGGTGAATGTGTTCAGTGGAGACAGACACATGCATTGGCACAGTAGCCACGGCCAAGCCTTTAGTAGACGCATGAAAGGCAGGTCCTCTCCATTTTAGCACCCTAGCACTGCTGCTAGGACAGCCTCCGGGCCCTACTCACCTACGCAGTTATCACACAGGCTGCAGTGGGAGGCTCGAGGGGGGCGGAAAATCTTGCAGGTAAAACAGTACTTTAGTTTCACAGTCTGGCCATTGATGATGACTTCTTTGGTTCTGGGAGGTGGGCGGTACCCCCCTGAACTGGTGCCGTTGGCAATATCTACGGAAAGAAGAAAAACAGCACACACCTTCAGAACACCATTTCAGCCCTGTGGTCCCTGTCACCTGATTCAGGGATCAGGTCTAGTTGTGGTCAGCATTCCTAGGGCAGCAGCCACACTTGACTGCCCTGTGTTGTCATAGGCAACCGTGGCTTAATGGAGACTCTGAACCTATTCATGCAGGCCAGAGACCAGATGAGGGGGCTCTGGTCAGAGGCCTGAGAAGGTTTGTGATCCACTAGTAGAAGTATGCTCTCCATGGGGTCATGCCCACCCACCATACCACCGCCTCTTCAAGGCATGTATAGGAGACAGTGTGGGGAGATACCCAAATGACTGCAGAGTAGGGTCTCCTGATCTGGCTACCAGTTCACTAAACTTGGGTCAGCAGCCAGCCTTGTCAATGGACTCAGTGATCTTCATTTTCCCTCTTGAGCTGAGTGCTTCAAACCCAGCCGAGGCATCTCCCTGCTTTGCCCATTGGCCTAAAAAGTATCATTGTGGGATGATAGGGGAGGAATATCCATTTTAAAAACATCTATTTCCATGAAAAAATTATTAAATGCATATTAAAAAGATCACTTGTATACTTTTGACATTGTTTATTATTTCTGAGCCAGTTTTAAAATGTTTTAAATATAACATACAAATTTATCTCTTTGCCCCCCCAAATTTACATTTATTTATTTGTATGTGAGGGAGGGGGAGCATATCATGTGTGTGTGTATGTGTATGTTTGTGTGTGAGCATGTATGTGCATGTGTGAGTGTATGTATGGTATGTGTGTAAGTGTGTGTGTGAGTATATTTATGTTTATGTGTTTGTGTATGTGTGTATACAAGTCAAGGAAGTCAGTTCTTTCCTTCTACTATGTGGCTTCCAGGGTTCAAACTCAGGCTGTCAGGCTTGGTAGCAAGCACTTTTGTCCACAGAACTGGCCCCTACGTCTATTTTTTAAAAAGTTTCCTTTGATCTCATAGCCGGGTTCTTCTCTCTGGTTGTGTAGCAGGAGGCCGCTTGTTTGTCCCGACTGCCCAGAACCAAAATAACCACACAGAAACTGTATTATTTAAATCACTCCTTGGCCCATTAGCTCTAGCTTCTTATTGTCTAACTCCTACATATTAATTTAACCTACCTCCATTAATCTGTATATCACCACGAGGTCATGGCCTATCAGAAAAGTTTCAGCAGTCTATCTCTGGTGACTCCATGGCGTCTCTCTCTGACTCCACCTTCCTCCTCCCATGCTAAGGGCCAAGTCAGTTTTTTTATTCATTAACCAATAAAAGCAACACATAGACAGAAGGACCTCCCATACCATGGTTGCACATGAGAATCACTGGGCAGACGGTTACACCCCCACCCCTACATACATACATATTGACTCTTGATTTCGTATACAGGAGGACTGAGACCCCAGCTCTGGAGGAAGGTCTGTTCCAGCTTTATTCACAGGTTGACTCCCCACAGCCCTGCCAGGTCCGCCAAGAAGAATCTGGCGAGCCAAAGAGAACAGCAAGAACCCTTTGAGGGCATCTGCTAAAACTCTGGAGTGGTCCCATGGATCTTTGGAGCTGGTGAATTGAAGGTAGATCCTCATTTTAGTTCACAGTCACTATCATATACAGCATACTTAGCCGATTCCCAACATGGTAGGCATTAGTGACATCGTCAACACATGCCCTCCACACAAACAGTCCAGACAGTTGTCTAGAAAGTTCTGAAACTACTGATATCCTGGACTTGGCCTTAGAATTTTGATTTCATCGGGATGGGCAGAATCAGGCACGGAGATTTAAAAGGCTCCTTCCAGATACCCTAATCAGTGGCCAAGGCTGACAGCCAATAGCGTGGGGTCCACACAGCATTTATTTTATGCAACAGTTCATCAGAGAAGAGGGCTCTCAGCTCATCCAAAACGTGGCATAGGAATTTGCATTTTGCCCAATTTTTCACTTCAAGCCTTAGAACCTAGGTACATGGTGAACATGGCTCCACTCAGAGACACGCCACTAAACAGACTTAGCCACTCATGCAAACTTAGCTACACTGATAGCACCTGGGGAGCTGAATTCTGCTCCTCACAGACAGAATGCGCAGCTGACTAGTCATGGCTCAGATCCCAACTGCTATGGGACCTGTTTTCTTTTAGAGGCTGTGGGATGGCCTTAGGCTTTTGAGTTAGTGAGATGCCCACTCCGGTAGCAAGGAGTGCTTCAGAGCTGCTGCTTCCATTGGCTACTCATGGAGAAGGAAAGTTCCATCGGCAGGGTGCAAACAAACAGAGAGGAAGGAGAGTTCAAGGAAGGGCATGATGGGAACAACAGGACAGTTCACCCCTTTACCCCTTTACCGCTTCTCAGGACTGGACCTCTTGCTTAGAACCATTAAATTAATTAAACCATTAAACCATTAGCTGTGGTGCCAACTTTGGGCCATGGGTTGCCCTGCCAACCTGGATACTCTCTTGGTACCCTCCCCCAACATGCTACCCTGGTGACCTCCCTATTAAGTGATGCTAAAGCCAGCAGCATCCAGTGTGCATCACGGGAAGAGGAGTCAGGCTGGAGGATGGAGAAGGCAGGGACCGTGCCACTGTGGCTGCCCTAAGCATCAGGTGGAAAGGACAGACTCAAAGCACATTGATGAGGACGGAAGATCTCTGTGAATGTCAACTGGGTGGCTTTGAGGCCTAAAATAAATTGGCAATTTCAGGTCAGCTGTGACATGGACTGGATGTATTTAGCTCTTGCAAACGTGAGTTTTAAAAAAGTCTGAAAGATCACTTACAAAGAAACTCAATCAAATACCTGTGTGAATTTCACCAGAAAAGTTCTGAAGCTGCATCCCCAAGGCGAATATTGTAAAAAGCAGATGCCAAAGCGCCCAGCACCAGTACCACATAGCAAGCTTAGCCCTGTCCAGCATCAGCAAGGCAAGCCCTGTCCAGCAGCAGCACCATGTAGCAAGCTTAGCCCTGCACAGCACCATGCAGTAAGCTTAGCCCTGCACAGCACCATGCAGTAAGCTTAGCCCTGTACAGCACCATATAGCAAGCTTAGCCCTGCACAGCAGCTTGACAAAGTGAATCTTTGGGGGCGCTCCTCGCAATAGACCCTACTGATCTCATATTCTCCTCAGCACTCCTTTCGGAAAGATGAAACCTGACACAAAGTGAGCTGAAAACTAGGATTCAACAGACAGTAAACTATAGCTTAAGCAGTTAGCCTAAACCCTAAAACCCTTTGGATAGGTAATGGGAGATTGATACACTAAGTAGTAATAATAATAATGAAATAAAAAAGTTAAAAATTGAAGTATCGGAAGGCCCAGTTCAGGACCCAAATATGCCGTTGGCTGACGGGGAAATCAGAGGACCTATAAAGAAGAAAGCAAACAATAACAACAACAAAAATACCAGTGAGACAGTATTTACAAAGGGCTGATCCTGCAGCACAGGAGCTGGGTGGGACCCAGGCGGCTTTGAAGGTGTCCTGGGGCTGCCTGCCGAGTCACGAGCCTCCTGTCTCATCTTTCTGGGGCGTTAGAATCGGATTCATCTTCCCCAACGGCCCTGGGGTAGCTTTCTAAATGCCCACAGGATCCTCAGAGCCCCCAGGCCACTCTGCCCAATGCAGTCTTACATGGAGCTCACACCGCAAACCTTGCAGCACCTCTGTGTGCTCTGGAGGAGGCAGCTGCTGCAGGGCTGGGCCATACGCACAGTGGTCCCTGCACTGGGGTGGAGATCATCTCATCTTTCAGGTCCAGTTCAGGCTTCTCTTGTGAAAACAGCTGGCCCCCATGGGATCTCACCATGTTTATCTATTTACTGAGCTCTGCCGGACTTCTAAGTGGCACCTTTGGCACGTGGGGCTTCAAGCACTAACCTAAAGACACAGTTTTCCTTCAGTGTTTGGACGGAAGCTGGTGGCTGGTCACAAAGCTTGTCCCCCTTTGAGCCCAGCAACATCTGCAGCCTCAGGCACACGGCATACAGGCTGGAGGGTGGAGTTCAGTGTTCTGGTTCAATCCCCAATTATTCCATGTGGGACTTTTGTGTGTGTGTGTGTGTGCAACAATCGTGCTTCTGTTTCTGAGAGCTGCTCTTTGTGGTTTAAACACGGCTCCTGGGAAAGAGCAATCATGTCTACAATAGCTAATCGTTGGAGAGCGCTAGAATTCGGGGGTAAAAATGGTTAGCGGCTTTGTAAGCTTAAGGAACTACTCCTTTCCAAGGGCATTTTACACAAGTATTCTGAAGGGAAGCACAAAAGCCTGAAATGACTTACAAGCACAAAGGCCCCTTCTAATGGCTGAGTTGTTGGCAGAGGGATGGAAATGCTAATGTGTGCTTGTGCGTCCGTGTCTGGCACCAGCCTTGCAGTCAGAGCAGTGGGCAAAGACCTAAGGACCCTGGGGGTAGGAAGGAGAGGTTGGCCACGCGTACTCAGGAATGGGAAATCAACACAGGATGAAGTGTCTCAGTGAAAGAGAAATCCTGGGCTAGCCAGGCGCTTCTGGTAACTGTTCCTTAACATATGCCTGCTTGTTCAAGGCCTGTCTTCGATCGTTTTCGCCTCAGCGAGCAGGGTGCCGTCTTACACTACAGGAGAAAAATGTCACCTTTGAAGATGTGGATAAAGATTCTCTCTCAACTGAAGGGTTCATCTGGAGGAGTGGCATCCCCTGGCGCGCTGAAGTTTCACAGACCATTAACTAACTGATGGGGCAACTGCCAGAGCGGTGGGAGTCTTTGCTAACGGGAGTTTAGTCAGCGTGAGGATAGGGCACGGGGCAAATGGGACTTCGTACTCTAGTCCGCAAGATGCTACCGCAGTGTCGAGTATAGCCACTCACTGCCATAACACAGCCATGCATTTAATGAATCTCAATATCCAATAGAGGTCCACGAGCCACCCAACAGTCTTCTGGGTGCTGTGGTTCGGGGCGTGCACAGGAGACGTCCCCTGTCATTTGGGGCCTACAGGGAGGG